TACAGAAATGCTTTTACATTCTGCTCAGGTCTGACTACATCAACTGTTGGTGTGTTTGTTCATGTTTTAGAACCATTCCCTGGCTGTAATGCTGTTTGAATGCAAACAGCTAAATATTATCCTGGTCAGGTGAACACGTTTGTGTGTGCCTTGATTTTCATGCATTCATTGAGATAAAAAAATGTTTCAGTCTTAAAATATGTATTTAGATTTAATTTGACAGAAAGTCAAAGTTGAGGAATGACCAAAATGACAACATTTGCAGCACATGTGTGGATGCAGTGTGTGGTCCTTGTGTGTCAGATTTATGAGGTGTTAGGAAAAGTTGCCTTCAACCACGTTAATGAGGTGCTGGTGTGCAAAACAGAACGAGATGTAATCACCCACTAATAGAGCTGCTGCTCTCCATTCACCTTGCCTTCAACCTCTCTTCTTAATGGGTACCATTTATTGTAAGAATTACCTAAAATATAAACATTCATTTCAGGGTGAGTGGCAGTAGATTGATTATTGTAAAGTCAGCTCTGCATATAGAAACTGAAAGTATAGCATTTTTTTGTTTATGAGTCCAGTGAAGGGACACAACACTTTTATTTACGTGTATGTACTCCTTTCACAGCTAAAGGCTCATTACAGGCATGATAAATCCAAGATGAGGTCAAAATGCCAAGGCTTTATAATATTAGAGAAAAGGGAGTCTCACCATGTTGTTTTATTAGTAAATATATTTTTCAATGAATGAATTGATAATAAATGTTATAACATGTATGAAATTAATGTTTTAAATCTATAAATTAAGTATCTGTTATGATAAATTATCAGTCGATCAATGCACCCATCCATCCATCATCCGTCAGTCGGTCCATTTATCCATCCATCCATCCAACCATCCATTTGTGTGTCAATCTATCCATCCATCTGTTCATCTGTCCATCCATTTATCCCTTCATCCATCTGTCTGTCTAATTGTCCATCCACCCATCCATCCATTTGTCAGTTAATCCATCCATCCATCCATCCATCCATTCACCCATTTATCCATCCATTTGTTCATCTGTCCATCCATTTATCCCTTCACCCATCTGTCTGTCTATTTGTCTATCCACCCATCCATGCATTTGTCAGTCAATCCATCCATCCATTCCTCCATCCATTCCTCCATCCATTCCTCCATCCACCCACCCATGCATCCATCCATTTGATTGTCTCTCCATCCACCCATCTGTCCGTCCATCCATCCATCCATCCATCCAACTCTTGCTGTTTGCGAATCTTTTCGGAGCTCAGCTGCCCACTTCCTCTCACTGCTCCATGTGCTCAACAAAGCCTGATATTTAGGCTGTGATACAGAAGACTTTAACCGAATCTGCATTCACTGACATCTTGACATTGCGCAACCCCCTCTAACCCTAACAATAAATAATTAACCTCCCAAGCATTTTGCATTTTCCACATTTTGTTTCAAACACATATTTGCAGAGATGTCAAAAAGAGAAAAAAGTGTACTACACACTTGCAACACTTGAGTGTTTCACTATTTCTACATGAGCTACATGAGGGAATATTTGATTAGGTGAAACAAAACTTTAAGTTTTCTTGAAAGAGAACCTGCCATCAAGCCCCCAGAACATAAAAATGAAGAAGTTCCTAAAAATAAGGAAAAAATGCAGAAGTAGAGGTTAGCCAGAGGTTTGGCTAACGGGAAGCAGAGAGCGGTTTGACTATAAGGTGAAGATGAAAAGGCAGTCTGATGCACTCCAGGACACAGCAGCAATGGGACTCGAAACTGCTCAGAAAATTTCTATTCCCACTTGGAAAGTTCAGTCAGGGATGAAAATGCAAATAACAATTCCACATTCCTTTCATGTCCGGGTGTGGAAAGATACAGAAAAGAGAAGAAGGAATCACTATTATCCAGCGTGATCCGAATCCTGTATGTTCCAGAAATGCAACAAGCTGTAGTGAACCTGAGAGAATAGCTGTAACATTCCCAAATTTTCTCCAAGGAATGACCAGAAAAAGGAGATTCCTCCACTGTGAATGGATGGAAAAGAAAATTATTTGTTTGATCTGGAAAATGTCATCAGCTTGGACAGTTTACTACCTGGAATGAAAATTATTATCAGCATGTCGATAAAAAGTCACCTAATGAATGTATAGCTGCAGCAAAAATGCCCCTAGTGGTGTGTTCATGCCACATTACAGAGAAGCATCAGGAGAAGCCACCTCTAATTCAATAAACAGCCTCAGGGGATCTAGCCTCCATCAGATACACACAAGCAAATGCACACGCACACATGTTAACACATGCAGATCTTTCACATGCAGATTGGGCACTTATGAGCTGTCGGTAGTGATTAATGGCAACAGAAAATGACCCGCTAACTCCCACGATATATCTGGGCAAAGCTTGCCTTTATAATATGAACACACACACACACACACACACACACACACACACACACACACACACACACACACACACACACACACACACACACACACACACACACCCTCATGAAAATACTCAGTATGCCCGCACACAAACTGTCAGATTCACAGGAAATGGGGGTGTTGGGGTTTTACGGGTGTCACCCTGACATTAATCTCTGCTGCTAACAAGAGGATGTGGAAAGTTGTTCATTTATTTAATCTGCTGAAGAAAAAATAGTTTGTTCGTCCATTTATTTCTCATTATTTCTGCCAGAGATTCATT